ACTCATTTGTGCAAATTGGTCCATGTGGCAACACCTTTGCCTTTCTGGCTCTTGGCAGCTTCTTTGCAAAGTTGCTTTCCCTTTAACACACCTCTTTACTTTGCAAGGAGCACTTCGAAGGACGTGCTGTGAAGTAGAACTTCCATCTTCCAAGCACCTGAGAACTCCAAGCTCCCACAGAACCGGCACTTGCATTTCCAGCCTTCTGCTCGCACGAGGTTGCACGCACCTTGCTCCAACTGTGCCGAGGACGGTGTCAGAGGCTAAGCACAGCGAAAGACGGAAGCTTTGCAGATAGCACCGCCTTGCACATGAGGGTGTGGAACTTGCCGGCCATTTGTGGATGCAGGGCCCCGAGTGGGTTGTCTTGGCCATGTTGGGATGCTTGCTGTTGTGGCCGGGTGAGGGCGCTGGCTGCAGTTCTCCAAGTGCCTCTCCAAGAGATGCAAGTGTCAGTCTGAACCTCTGGCTGAGACGAAATGAGAACTGGATTTTCAGGACTAAGTTGCAGCATATGCAGATGTTGTTGAACTATCGTCGAGGTTCTCCTGATGCGCGATGTGCTTTGGAACTCATACCCTCTCCAGCACCTTCTCTCAGCATTTTGACGGTGTGCTGCTCCGCCTCAGCATACTCCTTGTTGATCGAGGCATTTCACTTTGCAGAAGGGCTTGCAGGTCCGCCGCAAGGAGTGTCAGTCTAGTGTTGAAAGATAGCATCACTTATCTATCTATTTGTCCATTTGTCTCACTCTCTCTCTCTCTATGTACAGGTATATCGGTATATCGGTATGTCTTGCTTCTGGTACCGGGCCCTCAATTTGTCAAGCAGATTGCATGCAGTGGTGTACTTTATGCACGATCACACCTGGCTGTACCTCTTTGTCGGAGCATGTTCATTTGGAGTCTGTGAGCAAGACCCATGGATTTACTCTGACCTGCCGGGCCCATGTTTCAAGCTTCCTGTGAGTTTCTAGACTCTAGATAAGCTGTTTTTTGCAGTTTGGCCAGGTGCGTTCTCACCCACTAACTGTTTCGAATCAACCTCCTGGCCAGGGGCCACTAGTCACTCCACATGGCGGTGTGCTGTTCAATCCTGCGGTCAATCTTGGGAAAAGGCGCTGCTGTTGGGGTCGGGGCAGTTCTTCATGGTTTTGGTGGCTCTGATAGTTGCATAATGTTGCATAGTTGGAAAAGGTGGGACGTCTTCATCGCAGCCGGGTGCTTAGACGATGCGAAAGCGAGCTGAAGAGAAAACGAAAGCGAACACGCAGCTTGGAGTGGCTGGCTTCAGTGGCTTCAGGTTCGAATCCACACTGCTCGAATAGACCCAGGCAACAAGCTGTGAATGTTTGCAGTCTTTCAATGTATTTTGTCGCTTGTTCCTGAATTTTAACATTGGTCTCTCCAGCAACTGACGTGATTTCCTGTGTTGTTTTGTATGTTTATGTTTATTTTTATTTTATATATATATATTTTTTGTTTAAAGGGGGGTATTGTATGGCCAGACTTGGCAAGAACGTACGGTCATCAGTTAATATAATAAACCGGTGGGGGGAGGGGTTGTGAATCATGAATCAACACCTGTAAGTTCACTAAGTCGGTGTTTGCTTCCAGGGAACGGAAAATATTTGGAGCTCTTGGCCCAGACCTGAGACGAGACGAGCGTGGATTCGCTGTTGCTTCGCCGCTGTTGGCTTCCTTCAGCTCAAGCGCTCGTGGTCTTTTGAGGCGCTCCACCCGTCACCGATATTAGAGGCCTGGAGCATCACCGATATTAGGTGTGTTTTGCTAAGATTTGCAAGGGACACGTAACTTCAAGAAGTGGCCATCCGAAAGATTTTGCTGTAGCAAGGGACCACATGAAAGTCCACGGCCCAACACCGCAAAGGAATTCATTTTAAGATTTAACCATGGCTGCTTTTCCTTTGTGTCTTGCACATCCCTGCACTAACTCTGGAGGCAACGGGCTGGAGTGATGGGGTAGATGTCTTTGAGATCGCCCAACATAAGACATCCAAGGCCGGATTGCAAGAGTTTGAGGTGGCCAAAACGGTGACAGACTTTGATGCAGGTTGAGCTGATGACGGGTCTCTCTTCGGCGTTCAAAATTCGCGGCCTGCCTTGGGGTGTGAGCCTAATACTGATGCGTCTTTTCGAAACTTTCCGCAACTCATTCGCTCATCGCACAGGTCAGGAGCCTCCCACTGATATTGGCCAGCTTCCTAATTCCTGCAAATGGTGCAGGTTAGAAACAGGATGTCGAGACAAGTGTTCAGCTTTAGATTTAGCGGCGCCCTTCTAGTGCTATGGGCCGTAGTCCTCCGTTGCAGTTCGCCTGGCAACTTTGTGTGGCAATCAGCAAAGCTACCGGAAGCGTCGTTTTCGTGTTTATTTGATCCCAGTGCTTGTCATGCACGCTGAAGGGGCACGCGACACACGTGACACATCCTTTCCATAATTTCTTGAGGCAACTTGCATATTTACGCCCGCCCCAACCACAGCGAAGCACAAACATTTTGTTTCAGAGCACCTTAGCGTTATTTTTGCGTGGCAGGACCACCTCTGTAGTTTGGGAGTTCCTCATCGGAATGTCAACTACGACATACTACAACTCATACATGGGGTGCACTAAAGCGACTCCTCGTTGACTGGTAGAGAGTCCTTTTCTCATGCAGTTCAACAGCCCGCTCGTGGCCTTCCAAAGCAAATCTTTTACTGTAAAACCGTGTTTCACCCCCGAGAAACCAAAGGGTTTACCTGTGAGGGGTTCTTACTCCTTTTAAAGGGGTGCATGCTCGGGCCGGATGATTTTGAGTTTGTCTCCGGGCTTGTGTTCCTGGCCGCATGATTTCACCCTTGTCTCCCACTTGTCTCCCACTTGTCTCCCACTTGTCTCCCAGTAAGCTCTGGATGCTCTCAGTGCTCTGGCCGCATGATTTTATACTTGTCTCCCATTTGTCTCCCACTTGTCTCCCAGTTGTCTCCCAGTAAGCTCTCGATGCTCTCAGTGCTCTGGCCGCATGATTTCACGCTTGTCTCCCACTTGTCTCCCAGTAAGCTCTGGATGCTCTGAGTGCTTGGCCGCATGATTTCACACTTGTCTCCCATTTGTCTCCCACTTGTCTCCCGGTAAGCTCTGGATGCTCTGAGTGCTCTGGCCGCATGATTTCACACTT